CTCTCTCTCTCTCTCTCTCTCTCTCTCTCTCTCTCTCTCTCTCTCTCCCCTGCTCTCTCTCTCACACACACCACATGAAAGCACACCCACCACACACACACACACACACACACACACACACACAAAAGCACACAGCCTCCCAGGCAATTTACTGCTCCTGCCTTGGCCTCATGGGGAGCAGGGAGAGACACCACTGAGCAGTCCTGGGCACCCCTCCACCCCTCAATTTCCCTGCCCTGGAGGGTCAAGTGTGACCATATTCAGTATTTACCCCATAGATCCAGGGCTGTCTGTGTGGCTCCATAACACCCACCCTGCCACCCGTCCCACCCACCTCCCGCCCAGCAACTGCAGCGCTCAGTTTGATCACAGTAGCCATGTTTCGTTGATGTTGGTTTTGTTTAAGGGCTTGGCTGGCCGGTGAGGTGGAAGAGGTGGAGTGGGGCAGGGGTTGGGGGGCTGCACTTTCATTTGTCTTCTGACAAATCGCGCCTCTTCCAGCTGTCAAGAATGTACTTGAGGAGAAGACCGAGCTTCCTGCGAGTGGACAGCGGGGCTTCCTCGCTGGTTCCCTCCCCGGACACCCGCTTTTCCACACCGCAGTCACCAGACGCCTCCAAGCTCACCTCGGCCTGGGGCTCATCTTCCTCCAGGGCCTTGATGCGGACGCGTTGGGCGTCCTCAGCCATCTCATTGAGACAGCCCTGGAGCATGGTGTAGACCGTGCCGAAGCTGATGCCCCCAGCCACCAGCGTTCCGAACACAGGGATGCCCCGCTCGAAGGCACGGGCCACCCGCATGGCACCATCCGAGGACTGAGAGTACAGCCGCAGGACAGTTTCTGGTGAGACCTCATTGGCCAGAGGGGAGCGGATGACGGAGCGCAGGTCCCCTGCCTGCTTGCCCACCTGCTCGGCCAGTTTAGCCAATGAGTCATCGTCTAGGCCGAAGCTGCGGTGGTAGCCACGCAGAGAGCGAATGAGCAGGGCGTCGTCGTAGGCGGCTGCCAGTCCAGGGACAGGCAGGGCCTGGATGACCCCGGACACCAAGGCTGTCTTAAGCACCTGCTCTTGTAGCATGTCCTTCTTCCTTTGCAGAGCCTCCAGCGAGATGTCAGGCAGGGAGAGCAGGCCAGCGTGGCGACGGTGGGCGGGCAGGTCATGCTCCCAAGTGGACATGAGCATCGGGAAGTCATAGCGGGTTGGCGACAGGTTGGACACCAGGAAGATGCGTGGGTCGTTCAGGCCGGCTGCCCGCAGCCGCTCCGCGCAGTGATCCCTGATCTCCTGGAGGACAGCGGCCTCGCTGAAGCCCGAGGGCCGCTGGCTGCGGGTGGCCGCCAGATCCTCGTCCACCTTGGTGCGCACGAAGTAGAACTTCTTCCCCTGGCGCAGGATCTCCGCGGCCAGGCGGGTCTCCACGGCGCCGCAGCGACGGGGGGAGACGAGCAAGAAGAAGTCATAGCGGCCGAAGTCCACCTGCTTCAGGTACTTGTCTGCTGAGCAGCCTGGAGAGCCGGCCCCCGGCAGGTCCCACAGGGTCACGTCGGGAAACTGTGGGTGCGGGTAAGGCGAAGGCTGCATGGTGGTCTCCACGACCCCTGTGAGAGCTGCGCCAGGATCCTCGGCCCCCAGGCCACGCAGGGCATTGATGAGGGAGGACTTGCCGGCTCCCGACTCGCCCGTGACGCCCACCTCCAGCCGGGTACTCTCTGAGTTGGCCAGCAGCTCCCGGAGGCGAGAGGCTGCTTGAGGGATGTCGCCAGACTCAAAGGCGGTGCGTAGGGCCTCCAGCTCTTCTTTGGCCATGAGGATGGTGGTCTCGTCCTCAGACATCGCGGGCAACTTGGAAGTTGCCATGGTTCAGAGCTGGACAGGAAGATGGGGGACAGTCACGGGACGTGTGACCTCTCAGCGTCTGCAGAGAAGGGAGACGTTCATATGACAGAGGGGGAGGTGAAAGGACTCTCTTTAGATTACCACCAGCTTTCTCTTCCTCAAGAACTGGGGTACCCTAGCTCTCACCTGCAATTCAGCACTGAGGAGGTTGAGGCAGGAGGATCAGCATGAGTTCCAGGACAGCTTGGGCTACACAGTCTCGAAACAACAATGGTCAAGTATGATGACACTAATAGCGGGAGGCTAAGGCATGAGTTCAAGGCCTGCCTGATCTACAGAGTTCCAGGCTGGCCAGGATTTCATAGTGAAACTCTGTCTCAAAAAACTATAACAACAATCCAGGTCTAGTTCCTCACACCTGTGTTGCTGGCACTTGGGAACTGGAGGTAGACGACCATTTGAAGGGCACCCTCAGCTATGCAGGGAGCGTTCAAGTGTTGAAGGCCCCGATTCACTTTCCACCTGGGCCACTGGCTTGCCGTGCAACCTGGGACAAAATGGACACCACGCTGGGCCTTTTGTCTCTATAGTCAATGGGCATAATAACCAAGCAGCCTACCGAGACACTGTCGGGGTCTGTGAGAAACCTAGGAAGGACTCAACTTTGTGAGGGACGTGTGCCCTGTGCCCAGAGCGAGGCTGGGTGGCCTGCTAAAACCGAAACCTGATGGTTCCTTACAATATCTGGGTTGAGACAGGGTATCACTATATAGCTCAGGCTGGCCCAAAACTCACTGTGTAACCCAGGCTGCTTCCAAATATTTGAACCAAAGCTTCCCAGTCTTACTGTGGCCAGGCCTCCCATCCTGGGTAGCAGGACCTGCCTGTGGCTCTGGCCAAGCTGGAGAGCCACTACTATTCAACTGCTGTGGTCACCAGGAGCCAGTGAGAGGTGGCTCTGCCACATACTGGCCCAGCACTGCCTCATTTTCCTCATCTGCGAGGTGTGGCTGTGACCGTCCTCACCACAATGTCTCCTAAGAATGGGAGACTCCTGTGAACTATGACATTCGTAAAACAATGGCAGACACACAGCAGGTGCTATTAGTCACCAGTGCTGTGATTAATATCTGTGACCTACAACTTTCTTTTCTAAAGACAGGGTCTGGCTGTGTAGCCCAGTCTAGCCTCTAACCCAGAGCAGCTCTCTCTCACCTTAGCCTCCTAAGCGGGGATTGCAAGAATGCCCCCATGCCTGGCTAGGATTGTAACTTTGAGCCCCTGTCCTTCTGAGCCCTGCCTGCCTGCCTGCTCTGAGCCACCTTCAAAGGCCTCTTGGGCCCCCTTAGGCCCACCTATGTTACCAAAGTCACTCCAGTCAACAGTGAAGGCATTCTTCATTCAGCCTATGGTGGCCTCATCAGGCCCACTCTCTCGTCTCCTCAGATCTCCTTGCTGATGGTCTCTCTCTGTATCCCCTCCCTGCAGCCCTGACGACACCCAGCTCTCCCTCTTCTCATTTGTGAACCATGCGACCTAAAGCCTCGGAAGTCCAGCCACTCACCCAGTTGTGGTGGTACACGCCTGTAATCTTAGCACTTATGAGGCTGAGTCAGGGAAATTACCATGAGTTCAAGGCCAGCCTGTGCTACATACTGAGGCCCTGTCTCAAACAAACAAGCAACCCCCCCTCAAAAAAACCCTCCAAATAAATAATGAAATCTCTTGCTTATAGAGAGACTCCCTTGGAATCAGGGCTCACTTCATCTGGCAAGGAGAGGGATCTAGGCTCAGATAACACAAGGGATATCTCCCTGCTCAGACGTACAGTCAGAACTCTAGTCCAGGTCTATGGGCTCCTTTACCCACCTCCCCCTCTGCCACATCCCCCTTCCCCTTGGCCCTCCTGTACCCTCACCTCCTCCTCCACTGCCCTCCCCACTCTCTGACCCTCCTTCCCCAGCTTCAGCCACCCCTTCCCAGGCCCCTCCCTCACCTACCTCAGGTGTGATCTGGGACAGGTCCCAGCAGCCCGAGGCAGAGCAGTCGTCAGTGGTGATGGGGTTCGGATGGGAACTTTGGGAAGCTCGGGTTTCTGTGCACGGACCCAAAGGGCCCAGCTGGAGAGCCCGGCCCCTCGGGGACTCACCTGGCCTGCAGGCTCTCCCTCTCCCCTCACACTCTCCCTGCTGGTGGCGGCTCCTCCCCAGCTAGCCCAAGATCACAACCTGTTGCTAGGGCCCATTATAACAGTGAGTGTCAGTTCATTGGTCAGCTGGGTGCCGTGTAACAATGAGACAGTGACATCAGAGGGCAGGGTCCCAGGGAGCAGAGACTCCAACCCCAGGTGCCCCTAGAGCCACCACATGGAGTCACTTTGGGCCCTCCAAGGGGTCTTTTCTAACAGATTTGCTCAGAGTCCCCTGTTGGCTGAGGATAGAGGGTGCATAGAGGGTTTGGCTAATGCAGCGAAGCCCTGGGTTTCATCCTCAGCACCAATCACACCCAGCGTTGTGGCACTCGGTCAGTAAACCAGCACTCAGTAGTTGAAGGCAGAAGGATCAGAGGTCAAGGCCATCCATGGTCACGTAGCAAGTTCTGAGGCCAGCCCGGGTCTCAGGAAACCCTATCACAAACAAACAAGCAAATATAAACAAACAAGCCGCCCTGAATCAATAAGAAACTCTCTGTGGTCTCCATCACCCCCAGGACTAAGTCCTACATCTGAGGCTCTGGACATCTGAGTCTTGGCCTCGCTCACCACTCTGCAATGGAGGGAACTCTTCAGCAGGCTGCTTGCCAGCCTGTCATCATCACTCATCTCTCTATGTAGCTCTCAGGTGTCCCACGTGCTCTGGGACGTGAGGGCCAGGTTGGGGTAGGTGTTAGCTTGGCTAGCACTGGCTGGGACAGGAGGAAACGGGCAATGGGACATAAGACCCGGTTTCCGTTGTGGTTCATGCCTGTGATTCCAGCTCTGGGGCAGTAGACTCCACGTTCAAGGACAGCCTCCTTGAACTCACTCCTATAGAGTGAACTGGAGGCCAATCTCACAAGCCCAAGAACCCGAGTCCAAGCCTCAGAACCCGTGTACAAAATGCTGGGTGTGGTGGTGAGCACTGGTGACCCTAGCACCAGAGACATGGAGACAGAAAATCGCTGGAGTTTCCTGGCCAGCAAGTCTCATCTAATTAGTGTCCCACAGACCCACGAGTGGTCTTTGTCTCAACGGAGGCAAGTGGATGGCACTCAAGGTTGTCCTCCAGATTACACACACACCATAAACAAAGCTTGACTTCTGGTCCCTGCTGTACCACCTGCAGACCATAGCGTCTCTGCATAGAGGACACCAGACAGGGCACTGAGCCTTGCTTTCCTCCTCCCTTCTCTAGCACGTGTCCTGTCCTACCTACCCGGCCCTCTGCCCACCTGCCAGTCTTTGCTCAGGGCCCATGTGTCTATCACACCTTGCTTCCTTCTGTTCCCTCTGCTTCCTCGTTACCCTGTGAAGCTACATCCAGGCTACGAAGAGGGAAATGAAAGTAGACATGAGTTGTTGGTGGTAGCCCATGCTTGTAACCCCAGCACTTCAGAGGTGGAGACAGGAGGATCAGGCGTTCAAAGGCATCCTCAGCTACTTAGTAAGTTTGAAGTCAGTTTGGGTCCCAAGAGAGCTGAGAGCAAGTGGAGAGCCCTGAACCAGCAGATGGGCTGAGGCAAGGCCCACTTTAGTGGGAGGGGCCTGAGGGGGGCAGAGGGCTCCAGGAAAGGAAAAGTCAAGGTGAAACAGAACGGACCGGCGTGGGTGCTCAGAGTCACCAGGCACAGAGAGTGAACGGGCTTGGAGCTAGAGGCCTGTGAATCAAGAGGAGATGTGAAAAGCAGGAATGAGGGTGACTTGGCAAAGCACTGCCCAGTGTGCACAAACCCTGGGTCCCATCCCCAGCACTGCGAAGAAAAGAGTAGAGGGCAGGAAAAGGTCTAATCTAGGTGGCATGTGTCTGCCAATCAGGCTACTTGGAAAGCTGAGGCAGGAGAAGCACCATTTCCAAGCCTGCTATTGCATGAATTCAAGGTCAGCCTGGGCGACTGACTGACACCGGTCTCAAACTAGAAAGTGTAGCAGCTGTGATGGTTCACACCTGTGGTCCCAGCATCGGTAGGTGGAGGTAGGAGGATAGCCACGAATCCAAAGCCAGCCTCGGCTACAGGGTAAGTTCCTGGTCAGGCGGGGCAAACACGAGGCCCTACTTCAAATGAAAAAAAAAAATCAATAATTAGTTAAAACAAAAGTTAAAGAGAGGGGCAGGATATAGCACAGTGCTTGCCCAACATGCACAAACCCCTAGGTTCAGTTCTTGATACCATAAAAAAAAAAAATAGGTGGGGCCAAGACGCCCAGTCATGGGATCACAGGATTCCAGCTGCTCTCAGGACGCCGTTGTCAAGCTGCGGCCCTCTACCCTCTGGCCCACGGACGCCTGTCTGCCTGTCCCCTTCCTAACGTCCTCTCAGCCAGGCTCCAAGGGCCTTCCTTCCCCCATGCAGTTTCTAGGATGTGCCTCAGGCTTCTACAACTCAAAGATTTGTTCTGGCCATCTGAGGAGCCTCCAGGGGTGAGGACAGAGGTCTCAGAAGGGACACATTGGCTGGAGCTAGGGCAGGAGTGACTGCTGCCCACCGTGTCCAACATTTCCAAACCTCGGGCAGCAGCTGCGTGCTCCGTGGGATCCTGCTGACTGGCAAACTGCAGAGACAGAGTCAAAAATAGTCTCAGACGTTCCCCGACACTGAGCAGACTGTGGCTCATCCCCAAGACTCCTTTCTCAAACTCACAGACACGTGTGAGGCCCATGAGGGGAAGGAGGGACTCAGCAAACACAGAATCGTCAAACAGATCCCCAGGCACAGCGAGCCATGGGGCTGGAGAAGACAGCCCTAGGGTCAAGAGCACTGGTTACTCTTGCAGAGGACTCCCGTTTGGTTCCCAGCATCCTTATGGCAACTTGCTAATGTTAGTATCTCCAGTTCCAGTGGATCTGACACCCCCTTCTGACGGCCACAAACATCACATGAACACATGGAGCACATATATGGATGCAGGCAAAATACCCACAAACATTTTTTTAAGTTTAAAAAAGATCTTATAAAAATAAATTTTTAAAAGGTAAACAGGAGTTGGGGACTTATCTCAGTGATAGGCGCTGACTTAGAAAGTGTGAGGATTTGAAATCTAGCACTAGAAAACACATGCACACATGCACACACCACATACACATGTAAGAAGAAAAGGGACTGTCAAGATGGCTTAGTGGCACTGGACATGGTGGCACCTGCCTTTAATCCCAGCACTCAGGAGGTAGAGGCAGGTGGATATCTGTGAGTTCAAGGCCACCTTGGGCTATCTATTTAGTGAGTTCTAAGATGGCCAGGACTATGTAGAGAGACCCTGTCTGGGAAAACGAAAAAAAAGGGGGGGGGGCTGGGTGGTGGTGGCACATGCATTTAATCCCAGCACTCGGGAGGCAGAGGCTGGTGGATTGCTGTGAGTTCCAGGTCAGCTGGGTCTACAAGAGCTAGTTCCAGGACAGTCCCAATGCTACAGAGAAACCCTGTCTCGAAAAACAAAACAAAACAAAACAAAAAAACCCAACCAACCAAACAAACAAACAAAAAAAACCCAAAAACTGGATAAAGGTGTTTTGCTGACATGGCAGATAACCTGGATTTGACCACAAGGTAGAAAGAGAAAAACGATTCCCACAACCCATCCTCCGACTTCTGCATGCACACCTTGGCAACAAACACACACTCCCACATACGAACACATGCACACTCACATGTGAGCAAACGAGGTCAGCCTGAGGCTCCCACCTGTCATCCAAGTGTTCGGGAGGTGGAGGCAAGAGGATCCCTGGGGCTACTGCCTTCCACTCCAGCCCACGGGTCGCTCAGGTAGCCACGCCCATCTCATCTATGGGTGTTGAGGTTTGAACTCAGGTCCTCATGCTCACATAGCAAGGACTCTTACTTAGTCATCCCCCCAGTCCACATTTAAACTATTTCTAATGTAATATTTTAAAAGCTCAGGATTAGAGTGTGTGATTAGCAGGAGGCCTTGGGTTCCGTTCTTGGCACCAGAAAGAGAGAAGGAAGAGAGAGGGAAAGAGAGGTGGAGGGAGGAGGAAGAGGAGGAGGAGGAGGAGGAGGAGGAACTGGGTCTAGAGGAGGTAACTGAGACAGATGAGAGTGTCACATTTACTCACTCCTTCCTTCCACACATAATCAAACCTAAGACGCCTGTGGTTGTCAGACATGTCCTTTTCTGATCACGCCGACAAAGGAAAAAATAATGCTGCCAATAAAACCACAACATGACATTTCCTTATCACTTCAAATATTTATTCCAAGACAGCTGAAAGAGCTCTCAGGAGCTTATTTAGAAAACACAGATCTTATCACGCAGCAGTCCTGTGTACAGAAA